CAGCAGCAGTGCTGGGCAACGGGCTGCTGCTTCTTGCTGAGCTCTGTACAAAACCTTCTCCATGTCCATGCTTGGTCTGCCAGAGAAATGTAATTTCCACGGCGAGCAAATGCCAAGAGGTGAGACCATGCAGGGATGGATGGAGTGACCAAGAGCCACTCTTGAGTCCGTGTGCATCTGTGAATCTTTATAGAGCTGTTTCTTACCTTGCATTTAGGGCCATCAGGAGCTCCTCAAGCAACTGTCCCTCCTTCCCAGAGACAACTACAACCTCCTCAGCTATATCTGCAGGTCAGTCGTCTGCACGAGGTATAAACAGCTCAGATTTGGTGTTGGCGAGTGGAAATATCATCCCAAAGGCTGAGGCTGAGCCCTCTAGTGACAGCAGCCGTGTTTTGGTTCCCCTCAAGGCACCAGATCCTGACTTTTGTGAAGGGACCATTTCAGCCATAGGGATAAACACCTTGACCATGTCTGAGCATAAATGCCTGCCCTAAAACTCACTTATGAATCCCTGAGAATTAAAATCAAATGGAGTTTTTCTAGACAAAGCCTTGTGCAACAAAACTGTCGGGTTTCACCCAGCCTGGGTGATTTTTCTGTGGTTCCTAAATATTAGATGGGGTTTTTCCCCTCCTTTTTGATTTTTTTTTGAGTGAGCATCTCATCACGTGGTTTTTCTACTGATACCAATAAGACCTAGCTCCAGTTCACAGTGATAAGACAACTGTATGTTTCTGTCCTGGGGACTTAGAGGAAAAGCTGGATGGATTAATCAGGATTTTATAGCAGTGGGTGTGTAAGGCTCTTTGCAGTCTTCCTTCTCTGACTTGAAATATTTGCCTTGGATTCTGGCAGGTTTCTACATGAAATACAGTTGAACTCTAGTGTCAACAAGATGAGTGTGGATAACCTGGCAACAGTGATTGGAGTGAACCTCATCAGACCCAGGATAGAGGATCCTGCAATTATTATGAGAGGTAAAAGGGACTCCTGATAGGAGCACCCGACATGCTGAAACACTCAGTTGCATCCACAATCTTGAAATTAAAAATTTTCTACGGTAGAACCACGGATATAAGCCAGACATGTGCCTGGGCATAGTAAGTACAGCAGGGTAAAGCCATGTATTAGGCTATAAATGTGATAATGGTGACAAAAATCCCTCAAGAGTTGCACTGTATGTTCCCTCTGTAGATTTCAAACTATTCAGGAATTTGATGAAATTATCTTTCTTTAGCCCAGAGCAGGAAGGTGTGAAATTCTTAGAGAAACAAAAGAAACTCAAAAGAAATTACTGTTTAGCTGAGCCAATCTGTAATCCCGTGGGCAAGGACAGATGTGGCAGAACTAGCAGAAGAAATGTTTTGAGGCCAAAGACTGCTCTGCTCTACAGACATCACATGCAAATGGTCCAGATACTCATATCCCTGTTGGTATAACTGATACTTGTAGTTTGCTTGTCGAGCCAAAGCAGCACAATTTGTGGCTTGGTGCAGCTGAGCAGACTCCCATCTTTGTTGCTCTGTGGTCTACTACTCCTGTTCTTCTGGAGTGATATAAAAATCCCTCCCTTTATTTGGTTTTATGATCATGCTCCTTGTCTTCACCTGCATTACTATGTGCATCTCCATAAGATGAAGAAAGACCAAGCCGAAAATGCAAGTGTGGGTGGAAGAAAGCCCATTGCATTGGGTGTGCTGGTGACAGATCTCTAATGTCTTCCAGGCACACCACAGATCCAGAAAGTGATGACTGTGATGATAAGTGACCATGCAGACCTCTTTCCCCCGTCCAAGGATGTGCCGCCCTCCCCACCTGCCCCAAAAAGTGAGAAAAAGGCCCCCATCCCGCGCAGCTCCGTGGGCTGGGATGCTGCAGAGGACCCTGCGGTGCCCAGGGTGGAGAGCTTGACCCAAAGGCAAATGGTAAGGTTAGATCTTCAGAGAAATAATAGAACATAAATTTAATAAATGTGTGGTTGATTATTATGGGATCTAACAAGTCAGTTAGCCACTGAGAGCGCTTGCTATTAACAGAGAAGAGCTGTAACTGTCATCCCTGGAATATCTACATCAGGAAAATGATGCAGATAAATTTTCCACTTTGCTGTGGAAAATCTGCCGTTCTGGAGAAAATGGAAACACCTAAAGTTTTTTAGCTAAAGGCAGAATAGATGAAACCTTTTCAGTTCATGCTGGTGAAGTGAAAACACTGAGGAGTAAAGGCTTTTCTCAGAAGGAGAGAATCTCTGAAAAAAGTTCTTTTTAACAGAAAACATGGTGCAACCCGAAATAATTTTTTGGGGAAAACTTGTGGCCATTCCTTTTAGCACGTAAAGCGTGCTTTTTGTAAATATTGCAGCCACAGCAGTTGCTGCAGCCTGTCTCTGGCCACGCCGCGGGACGAGGCTGTGCTAATGCCACGGGTCTGTGTTACAGAGGGACGACCCGCGAGCCAGCGGCGCCCCAGCTGCGAGCTCAAGTGTGCTCGGAGAAGATAACGAGTCCAAAGACACACTGGGAACATGGAAAATGCAGTCAAGGAAAAGAACTCAAACTTTACCTAACAGGAAATCTTCCCTGGCAGCTGCTCCTCTGGGGCAGAAAGGCAGCAACGACAAAAACGACATATTTGCCGGTGACTTTTGGAAGAGCTCCCCTGGGAGCAGCGTGCGCCCCGTGGGCCCTGATGGACACAAGAGAACGTTGTCTCATGATCTTTTTAAGCTGCTCGACCTTCACCGGGCTTCGACCTATGATAATGTTCCAACCCCCCAGACAGAAAGTGGGGAAGGCAGCAGCTCCAGCCCCAGACCTTCGAGCAGCGGCTCTGATAAGGAATTTGCATCCTGCCCCAGCCCCAGCCATCAGCCAAAGGAAACAGCCAGTCCCACCAGCAGCACCGCCGAGGTCTCCGAGACTGATCAGGAGAGCAAGGAGTTCCTGCAAAACATGATCCTGAAGCTGGAAAAAGAAATGGAGGTACAGAAAAATGTCTACGAGGAACAAATTAAAAGGTAACGTGCTGCAGAGTGCTGCTTTCCGGAGAGTGTGAAGTCTTCAGCTCATGTTCTTACAGCAGTAGTGTCATAGTTTTGATTACCAGTAACCCTACCAGTATGAAATGATAAAATATAGCATTATAGTGGGCTGTCTAAAAGTCACTGCTCATGTGCTGTACTGCTGTGACGCAGTTGCTAATCATAGAATCACGGAATGGTTTGGGTTGGAAGGGACCTCAAAGATCATCCAGTTCCAACCCCCCTGCCATGGGCAGGGACACCCTCCACTACACCAGGTTGCCCAAAACCTCATCCAACCTGGCCTTGAACACTAATAATAACTAATGTTATATTACTACAATATTAATGCTCTATAGTTCTTATTACGTCACTGTATGGCACTGTAGTATTTCTGCAATGATTACACTGTCATAATGCTGGTTATTACTACAATATTTACCATGATACTACCCAGAACACGGAAGTAGCATTATTACATCATTAGTTGTCACCAGCAGTGTTACTATAGCTTCACATATTGTTATCACATTATTATATATTGATTTATTGCATCATGTCATGTGGCCATTGAGGGTCAGGGGATCAGGACAGCACCTCTGGCTTATTTTGTTGCTTAAAGCCACAGAGGGCAGGC